GTCTGTGCTACCCAATTACCTTTGAGTAACGGAGCCGAGCCAGGCTTCCAATCCCCAGACCAGTGTCGTGGACTAGTTTACTGCTCCAGTGTTTGTGCTGCCCAACCACCTTCGGGTTAGGGACTTTTTGTTGAAATGAGGGGATTTAGGAGGTTTTACTGACATGTACTTGTTGGAAAATTTATGGCTTGGGAAATACAGTGTACTTGACTTTTTGGACAGTTTGTCAAAGGTCCAATTAAATTTGCTGAACAGTGCAAGCTCAAGGGTTATCCATGCACAAACAACACAGTCAATTGTTTTTACTTGTACATTGTTAAAAAAACTTTTTTAGTGTAACATGTAAATGCCCACTGCATTTACCTGTTGACTAGGTACTGAATACTCATATACATGTACCCGAAACAGTGATTGAGCCACTTTTCCAAAACTAACCAGATGTTGTCACAGAACTTTCAAGTTGTCAACCTTGACTGTCGAGACTATCGCCAACACAAAGTACAGAATTCCACTTTTGACCGACTACATAAAAATGTACACATCCAATCAGACCATAAGGGCTACCTCAGACAAGGCGGGCCAGTGGAACAGTTTTCAAATCGGGCACATGGCACAGGCCCAGCGTACATGTGAAAACATTACATGTCAACTGATACTGGTTGCGCGTCCTCTGCGCATGCAGTCTTTCTCAACAGAGGAGCATTGCTTACAGGTAAAAAAAATGCCACCGTGGCAGATAAATGTGTTGTCAGTCAAGTTGCAGTGCATAAGCTTTGCATGTTGGCAACAGATCACCAACTTCCGCATGGTTTTGGAGAAGTCACTTCCAATTTTCTGTAAATCAAGTAAATAATATTTGCGTGTTCTCATCACACACACATTGAACTTACAATTATTTATAATCATGTTACTTCTGAAAGGTCAGGCCTGACTTAATTTGTAAATATGGTCACTTCAGTCAGTATAAAGCAGTGTACAGTAGCTTTTACTTCGAAGGTTAACCAACAGTGGTACCACCTTTGCTAATTCAGGGTACAGTCTCCTTGTAAACCCTAAAATGGGATCGGTTATGGTCAACTTCAGCTTTGTTAATAAATTTTGAGAGGAGCGTTGTCTAAAGTTACTATCTTTAGACTTTGGGCAGAAGAGCAGTAACCTATCAACAACTTGACCAACTTTCATCGGAATGTGCACAAACTACACAGCAGCAGTGGTATTGAGTGTTGGCCAACTTTTTCACTGTCCAGAGGGAATATGCATAATGCCTTCATTCATTGAGAAGCTCCATCTTTTGAATATTAAGGGTTAGTAGAAAAGTTGTCTGTGAAAAATTAAGGCAAGAGAATTGGTCCTCAACACCAATGCAGTGATAATGGTTGATCTTCAAGATGGAGAACTTGGGGTTTTTTTTTTTTACAAAATAATCATTGTGACCATACACTTTCTGATCCACTGATAGTTCTAAGTTAGAAATGAAGTAAACTGGTAGTGAACTAGACAGGGCTATTTTGAGCTATGCTTCCCTATTCATCGGGATTATTATCAAACTGCAACAAGCGTGTCTATTTTTGTGAAATTGTAAGCTCACAACAGCGATTGTAAACAAACGTACAGGTCTTTTGATTACCTGTTGTAGTTTTTAACAGCAGATAAGTTTAAGAAGTTCCCTGTCCCTTTTATAATTAATTCATCAACCAGTTTCCCAGTAACCCTTGCCTTTCTGCGGTTCTTACATGATATAAAATGCAAGTTCATTTAAAGAGCAAGGCTTAAAAGCTTCATGTAGACTGCTTTGTCCACTGCTGCCAAAATACAGAAAATCCACTTTCAAACTTTGATGGTTGTTTACAACAGGACATTAGAAAATGGTGTCATTTGATTTGTACATTCAAGTTTTTGCACTACGGCAATTCATCGTGAAACCTTTCACTGCAGCATTTACCAAGCATTCTTCTATGTATAGTTTAGTCCTATACACATAATGCCATTTCACAAACTCGCTAATTTATGTAATAGTGTGGCTGAGTTGGCATGTTGCCATCACTCCCAGTGGTTTAACTCCTAGCTGCCAGTCAAGTGTAGTCATGTACATGTATATGATGTGCACCCTGACACGAGCATACTTGTGTAAATATGAAGTATCTACACATACACTGCTTAATTTCTTGCTTCACTGTCTGTATAGTAAGGCAAGGCAAAACTGTAATAAATTACACCCAGTTGCTTATTAACATGTCTGTGTCATTGTTAGCAATATGGAACAAACTTTGTGTTGTCCAACTTGCCCAGGTGAAAATCAATCATTCAACCAATCTCGGACATATTTCTTCCAGACCTGGAACGCTCAACACTCTCCAAAAGCATTTTACTTGAAATCTACAATGTACATGTAGTTCTTCCTGAGCTCTTCTCATGAGGCTGTGAGTGAGTTACTGAAGTCCAGATATCAGTTACAAGTCACTGTGTGCCCCAATCCACTGTAGATATTATTTTGTTAACAAAATAAAAGCATAATGGAACTCCCCAGCCTGTAAATTTTCAGACTGTTTTTGGATTTGATTATTTGTTATACGTTTCAATAGAGCAGTGGTGTTGATGTGTTGAGCAAATTTTAAAAAAACAACTAACCTCTAACATTCGACCCAAAACCCTTTGCAAATCACACAATCTTGTCTAAAAATGTGAGTGCACAGGTGTGGCATTGCTGTGTGGCATCGCACACACCCACAAGGTGTTTTCCCTCAGAGGTATTTTGGGATGGGGCTTATGTTGGGAAAATGAAGAGGAACGGTTAAGGAAATCATTAAAACTCCAGCTTGAAGGATTTTTCATGGTGGGAGAAAAAGGAGTATTTTCCCTGAGATTTCATAACCACAGGACAACACAGGAATGCCCATACTATGTATGTGAAACAAGCACGCGCAAACTTCAGAAAGTCATAACTTGTTTCAAAGTTCAATTTAAGATCTCACATTTTACGGAAGACAGGATTTGCAGCCAGCATTTTAAGGTGCTGTCAGTCCTGGTTACACTGGTTTTCTGAACTGTATAAAGCTATACTTAAACCACTGTTGACTGCTGTGATGTGGGATATGAGATGTCTCATGGTGAGTTTGATATGCAGATATATCGCCCTGTCATGTGGTCATTCTGGGCCAATGAACAAACAGTATCCAAGACAGAGGTATGACAATGCTAAATCCTGCGTGGTTATATGCAGTTACGGTCTCCATCTTATTCGTCTCATACCAAACATGCAGGTTTCTGCATACTGAAGTGGAGATTGGTCATGTGAATTCTGCATTTGTCGAAAGCATAGGAGAGGGTGTGCAGCATTGTAGAATGCAATGGGATGGAGGATCTGATAGCAAATCATGCTAATAGTGGAGTGATGATTGGGATGGCATATGGATTGAAACTGCAAAATTGGGACAGTGAATACGGTTTATAAGTTACATTGTACACCGTATTTCTTGTGAAAGAAATAAAAGCTGTGAATACAGTAACAAAGATAATACTACCCCATCGACTCTTAGTTGTGCCATGGCCAAAATTAGTCATTTAACCTCAATAGATCAACAATTCTGTCTTGTAATGGGAGAACAAAACCCTATCAGTGTGCCTACTGTTTATGCACTGGGCTTGAATTATGTCGTCCTTTCACTTTTGGCATTTGTGGAAATGCCTGATTACACAAGAAGTTCATACCAATACCCTCTGCCTTTTAGGCTAATCAATTCCTTAGGTAGCAACCCTCCTGATAAATGCTAGACGGCTGCATAGCTGACACGTCTGGTTCCCTGCCTCGTCAGGAAGGGGTGCTGTTCCTGTTGCCCGTCAGGTTTTTTATGACTGCCGAGGCGGGAGCAAGAAGGGCCTTCCTGGACAGACGCATCTTGCCACTGACCGGGTCCCGCCCAAAGTACTTGACAGAGATCTCCTGCCCCACTTCAAAGCCTAGGGCACTGGGGTGATTCACCTGAAAACAAAGTAACATAAAGAAAAGACAAGTCACAATGATTTTCACTGTTTTCATTAATGTTGGAATTGTGTGTGTTATTCATCAGAAGCAACAGAACTGCTCAAAACCAAAAGGCAAGCTCCAATTGTAGCTCTATCAATATACAAATGAAGTACATTGAGAAAAATTATGAGCACCGAGGGGGACCCAGAGAGGGCTTGATTTTCCTAGCAATGGAGGCTCCTTTGGTGGTAACTGCACTTTGCTGGTTCACAGATGACTATAAAATGCATGCATTACATGTGCGTCCCTACCAACAAAAAAAAACACTCCCATCATCTTTTTGACCGATGAGGGGCTGGCTCTGCTCAAGGTGGACATGTGTGTTTTTGTTGTTTTAATTTTCTAACTTGCTTCACAAGCAGCAACATCATGTTTTGCATCACACCCAACCAGGTACATTAAGATTAGTAGCAGATCCAGAGAGGGGAACACCCTAGTTGCTTTCACTGATGGAGAATCGCAATGTTCTTACTCATAGTTCACAACAGCATTATACATTTCACAAGTGTGGATACAGACTTAAGAAAAACCTATTGTCATGTACAAATATGTACCTGCATGTATTTTCAAAAGTAGGGGCCGCTAGCTACAGCGTATCTTTATTTTCTTTTTCACAGTTCACATTTAAACAAAAGTACAGGTTTTCCCAGTCAATTTCAACAAAAAAATAGTTTGGTCTTTCACCTTCCAATTCTTGAAGATTTTAAAATGAATGTATTCATATTGGGTTTCCCTTTTCCCTATAATTGTACCGATAATTTTCATCTTGCTATTCATGTTCGTTCAAGCCATTCCATTTTGTTCACATGCATTCGAGACTACATCTTCACCATCAAGTTTGATGTCAACTTCCAATTAATACACCTTTGAAGAGATAAAAAATCTGGGTTTCATAAAAGAGACAAAAACACCCCAGCATTTTGATGTGGGAAATTATTAAACCTGGTGAGTACTATACATAGATTATTTAAAATGCACAAATAGCCATGTCTTGGTATCTTATAAACAATTATTCATAAATACATGTACCTGGGATAGTGTTTTTCCTATTGGTCAAAACGCCACACATGCACCAAGTTCATTGAAGAGAATTCTATTGGACAACTTCCAAAAGGCATGTACCACAAAAAGGGCATGGAGTTCAGGAAAATGAAAGTAAGAATTTAGAACAAAATCTCTGAATAAAAAGGTATTTATGAATGGGAATAAATATGTGCTTAGCCGGGCTTAACCTAACATTTAAGACCTTGCTCAGAAGAACAAATGCTGATAATGCCCTTGCCTGCGGCTCAGGAATTAGTTGCGTCCATTCTCCTGAGTCGGTCTTAACCACTTCCTGCCGGGCGACCGTTTTCGAGTACATAGGCTTTATATGTAGAGCCGGGGACCCTGGAACTGGGACAAAAGAGTTGGGCCTTATAACAAAAGACCTTGCTCAGTACAAAAGACTGAGCTGCTGGGCATTAGTGACATTTTTTCGCTTTCAAAAGTGGAGATAATCCTGCCTTGTTTTGAAACAGAATACCATGGTTTGAGGCATTTAGAGCGAGCAGATTACCACCAAGCACAAAAGCTCTCCACCACCGCAGTGATGAGCCACACTGCACCGCTGCATGCTAATCTGGCCCCTATTGAAAAGAGGTTTCGGGAACAAAAGAATCTTACGTAACACCGCACAATATGGGCTCTTTTTCCAAGGCTGCAGGCCTGGCTGAAATATTCAGGAGTCAAGGAATTTTACCTGTCAGCTTTAGAATAGTGCCCAAAGAGCCCTTCATTTTGGTATAAACGGCCATTAAATGAAATCATGAATTTTTGAAGAATTTTGAAAACGGAAAATCTTGAAAATGAGCCGGCATCTTGTCTTGCTCAAGAAAAATCCTCCCGGCAGCATGTGGTTAATGGTATATTCCTTGTGCAAGTAGTCCAGAAGAACCTCCTTACATGGACTTGGCACATTTTGCGTGCCATGCGTGCACACAGCCTCTGAACCAATACGAATGGATTAAACTTGTTTCCAGGTGCCAGTGTGTTTTTATGCAGCAGGCATTAATAAATTTAATGCATGGTCACGTTGCTGTTGTTGAACAACAAATCTGTTTGAGGTATTTATGACTGGTTGATAAAGCACCCGCTGGCTGATTTGAAACACTTTTCCGGTGTCATATGAAATTTAGACTCTAATAACTGTGAGACCTTTTTTCTCTAAGTTGTTTAGTTGTACCAGATGAACGTTCACAATCTTCACTCACATTTGCGTAATGCTACCAGCGAGTCCAAATTTTGACAGTCCTAAATTAACAGCGCATTAGCTCACTTCATTCTGCGTCACCTCATGCAGAAAATGCAACTCCACAGTTTGCAACATGCGCATGCCAACAGGAGATTGTCTCTAACTACTTATGAGAGGCACATGCAAAAAAAATGGCTAGAGGGGTGTTGGGAAAGCAGTGAATTAAAACTGGACAAAATCATTGGAAATTTATGATTGTTTTAAAGCTTGTTTTGACCTACTGACAAGTATTTATGAAAAGTACATGTATTTTTGAATAGGAATAAATATGTGTTTGGCCAAAACAAGCTCAGGTGAATAGACACTGATAATGTCCCTTGCTAAAAATTTATTCCTTTATTAGAAAGATGTTATTAATAACACATTTATGTTTTTATGTGTTTTTATTTTAAGCTAGGCTAGGTGGTGTATGGGAGTTTCAAGACTTCAGCAAAACTCATGCTAGAATTTAAGGCACACCAGTTGTGTTAGAACTGTTGAACAGTCACACAATCTCCCATTTTCACCTTGATTCTTTGTTTCCATGTTTGTTTACAACTACAACTTTCTAGTCCTCTACTCTTCTCCCCACAAAAGCAAAATTTCAAAGTGGAAATGGGATTCAAAGGAGTTCTCGGATTTTTCACCACCATCAAATAAAACAACAATGATGCACGCATTCCTCTTTCATTCTTTACCTAAACCACTTAATTATAATACCCTTGGATACTTCTCAAACTCCACTACAAAGTTGAAAGGTACAGAAAATTTTCATAAGAAATTGAAAATGAAATATTTACTGTACATCTGTAACACAGAGAGATGCAAAACTACTTTGACAGTCCACAATATAGATGTAGTTTACCATGATTAACGATATAATGTTAACAATACAGACTATTGTTTAAACTACTGTGCACTGTTAAGAAAGGGCCAAGAGTTCCTGAAAATCGTTGTAAAAGTGTTATAGTGTATCTCACTCCCCCCCCCAAAAAAGTGGTCTAGAACATCTGAAGTTATACAGTTGAAGTTGATTTTTAGGTGACTGCTCTATGTTCATTTCCACACAAAATATGGATGTATGGATAGTGAGTTGATTTTACAGAGATTTTTTTTCTTTCATGTCTCTTGAGGCAAATGTAATGATGTGGAGATACACTGGCTGGTCTACATTTTGTTCCACTCCCAATTTAACAGTGCAGACAAAATTTGCAGCTGCAAAGTTAATTCTTCCAAATCTTTTTTATTCCATCTTCACAACGGAATTCAGAGGTCCAGAGCTGACATTCTAGTTCCCTGTGCTTTGTAGGTCCTTTTTGTTTCATCTCCACAAAGAATGTTATGTGTGCTATCATGACAGCCTCGACTGGCGTCAACAAACTAAGGATCAAAGAATGCAATCTGTCCTCTGTTGTGTTGCAATTAATGGGCAGCTAAAATGACCATCAGTTTATGTGTCAAGTCCAGCCTGTTTACAATGCAGTGTGCCTTCAAACCTTAGACACCCAAATGAAATGCTGCAGCAGTGGCTTATCCTGTCGACTGCTTGCATTTGTAATCACTGCAGGGATACATCATGCAATCTTTTGAAGTTGTACGCGAAATTTTGTTACAATCCTCTTTCTTCATGTCCACTGGATGGGATTCTCTTCCAAAGTCCAGCAGTTTCACCTCCGCTCCTCCCTTGAAATACCTGCAGCATCACATAGAGGTTGTGACCCATTTCTATAAAGCTCCTCCCAGTCAGGTGGAATGAAGCCTGGGCAAGATGAACAACACTGAGCCACTTTTTGCTGGTCACATGGGATTTACAGGTCCTGATTCGCTGTAATGTTTGCCTGTACTTTGCAGACTGCCCCAAGGAGGTCAGTGCAGAAGTAATCATGCCATTTACGGATTGGCTTGAACCTGGTGGGTATTCCCACACAAGCCTCCCCAAGTACTCCACTGGGCTGGTCGTCATCCCAATTCCTGTAGCCAACCTCAACTCCTCTGTCCCTGCACTCCCAGCTTCCCTCCGCAGTCAGAATGCAGTCGACCCACACTTGGCTTTTATCTGGAATCAAAGCCAGGATGAAATCATCCTCTGCCGGGGACCGCGGCATGGCCAGATGACCACCCAACTTTCTGCACTCGCTCCTGGCAGCCGACCACTCAAATGTGGCATTGGTCACCATGTAGCAAGAGTCGCCCCAACGATGCCATTGGGTTGGGCAGCAAATCCCCGAAGGTCTGCATCGAGCTAAGGCTTGGGGGATGAGAAAACTTGATAAAGCAGCAATGGTCCAAAGAACTGAAAAATGCATTATGCTGATGATGGGCACTTTTCTTCTCAAATCCTTACAAGCAATTTCAGTTAACAGGGGGCATGTCTGAGCAGAGAAAAATCACAAGTGCCAATATGCAAAGATATGCTTCCGTAGATTACAAAATTGTGCAAATCCAAGATGTTCTTATTTAGTCAAGCAAGGACTCCTATTTGCAGACTCCCTGATGAAGCAAGAAGTTTAGAAGTGCTGAAAATGGCAGCAGGAACACGTTGCAGGCAAAGAGTGCACAAGCCCTGGATGCATTGGTTTGGGCAGAGATGAGGAGCAGCAGATAGACTAGATATCAAATATGCATCATGTCCATTAGTTGTCAATAACCAAACAATGCTCCTCGCATGAAGGATGGAAATTAT